ACTGTAACATTCCGGGGTACTTGCTGAACGTAACCCCTAACTACTTCAGCAACAGGGTACTCATGATGGACACGAGCATGGATTACAAAAAGAGCACAACGGGGAATCCTGGTCCCAAAATTCATTTAGTTCCTTCTCCTTTGGAGCCCTGTGAGCAGCGTCCTGAGCATAGTGCCAAAATTAAGCGCAACCTGGTTGGGACCAGGACAGCGTCGCTCATAGTGAGTGGCGCCAAGGAGCTGGCATCTGTGGAGGCGCGCAGGACACGGCCATCCAACCAAGTAGGGTCATTGGCTGGCAGTTGCAAAGGTCTCCTGCTGGCGGCCCACAAGACGGAAGCGAAGTGGAGGCTTCACTAGCGATGCTGGTTGGAGGACGAAGGATCGGTCGCAGAGGGCGATCAAAGTACCAAGGCGTGCGCCAATAAACGCAGCTGTCCTTCAGGAGCATTTAGGTACGTCCACCAAAAGGCCAGCGGTACGGCTGGAGCGCTCTCAGGATGCTGCCGAATACTAGGAGTCGAGCAATGCACAAGGAAACTCTCATCTGTGGTGATATAGGTCCTGTTTTTGGCCCTGGATTTTGGTAAGCTGTAAAGTACAGCTACATGCGAGGAGTGGAGGCGACCTTCAGAGTATGCGTTATCTAGGATCGCGTGCACGTTCCGGACTATCTCGGAAGACGGCACTGGTCATCGCAGGGCAAGTCCCACTGGCGGAGCTCGTCCGGGAGAGGAAGGAAATCTTCGCAGCCATGCAGAACAGGAGGGCACTGCCGTCCAGAGCAGAGCTAAAAAGGTTGCCGCTAGATGGAGGAGCATAGAAAACTGGCAGTCCCAATGGGACTCCTCTTCTAAAGGCCGTTGGACGTTCCGACTCATCCCAGACATAGCGCGATGGGTAGAGAGGTCGCATGGGCAGGTCAACTTCTACCTGAGCCAGGTGCTAAGCGGCCACGGATGCTTTCGCCATTACTTAAAAGCGCTTCGGCCACGAGACGGAGGATTGGTGCCCGGAGTGCGGATCTGGCATTGTGGAGGACGCGGAACACGTCTTCTTAGAGTGCCGAGTTTGGCCAGGAGAGGCAGGAGCTAGAGGAGGTAGCTGGATCCACGATCAGCGCCGAATCCTTGGTACCGAAGATGCTCGAAGACCAGGAGTGTGGAAAGCGGCAAACTCATTTGCCGCTTGCGTGATGAAGACCCTCAGGACCCTGGAGCGAAGGCGGAAGGAGCGGCCGGAGTAGGGGCTTTTGCGCCCGCGAAGCAATGCCATGCGGCGGTACCGCACGACGTGAGCCCGTACTTCTACGCAAAATCTTTTAAAAATCTTTTCCGTCTTGTGTAATCAGTAGAGTAAATTTTTGTAAATGTAAGATAGTAAATAGTGGAATAAATCTCGAATACAGCCAAAAAAACACACACACACACGCACACCCGGCATGAAGCCATACACACACACTCACACACACACATCACCTGGCATGAAGCCAAATAAACCCCGCAAAGGGAAGTTCAAAAGAGCACTAAGCTTTGAAGTTACGCGCGCAAGTGGCAACGCTGTCGGCGATAGTATCAGCATCTGGCAACGCCAAGATCGATCGCGGCAGCGCTGCCGGCAGGAATTAGGTCACGGCCACACTGCGGAAATTAGGTCAATTTAATCCTTGAAAATTCTTAATCGCGCAGTCGTGTCGCTCCACAAGTGAAAAGTCTAAGTGCCAAAACCGCGTGTCCGCGTCGGGACCAAATTATCCTGCAGAACCTCTAAGGACATCCAGCCAGGGTGAGCATGGCCGCCGGCCATTAAATATATTGGGAATTTATCCCACCCCTCGAAGTTATTTTATCAATAAAATTACCTAATTAGAAAACATAAGTGCTTAAACCAAACTGTGCGTTTTCCCTGTCTTCGTTCGCGGTCCGGCGCCCTCGCCGGCAGTGACCAATCCTCTCCTGCTTTCCCAGTAGCACCGGAGTAGTTCCGGGTGCGGGCGAAAGCCGGACGGGAACAGGGCCCGTGGTTGCTGGATTTTTCCGAGCCCGGACTTGCAGCGAGGCCGCCGGTCCCCCTTTTCCCCTTGCCCATCAGAGAGCCCTCCCGCTGCTGGATTTTTCCGGGCGAGGATCTGGGGGTTGGTCGCTGGATTTTTTCCGAACCAACTGTCCCTCTGCTGGATATTTCCGAGCACGGACGCAGGCATCGGCTGCTGGATCCCTCCGAGCCGTTGTCCTGTCCCAACGGACGCCGCGCTGCTGGATTTTTCCGAGTGTGGGCGTGGCCCTCTGAGCAACCCTGCCGCTGGATTCTTCTGGACGAGGATTCGGGGGCTGGCTGCTGGATTTTCTCCGAGCCAGTGGACCCGCTGCTGGATTCTTCCGAGCGTGGACACAGGCCTTGGCTGCTGGACTCCTCCGAGCCTTTGTCCTGCCCCGAAGGCGCCCCCTGCTGGATCATTCCAACCCTAGGCGTGGGGCGTGGCCGCTGGATTATTCCGGGGCCACTCGTCCCGCCGCTGGGTAATTCCGGGCGCGGACGCGGGCTTGACCTCTGGATTATTCCGGTCGCCCAGTTTCCTGGCCAAATAATCACGTGCAAATATTTTCTTCCCCATTTTTTCCTCGCTAGCTGGCCAGAAAATTATCGGCGCTTCTCCGTTCTTGGGTCTCTCACAAATTATAAATTTTGTGAGGGGACTCTGGGCCGCAGAGGATCACCCCGGCCGCCCAGAAGCTTCCTTACAACTGGAAGAGAGGGAGAGTAACCGAACCGGATGGGGTATCACTCTACACCGACGGCTCAAAGATGAGCGGCGGGGTAGGGGCCGGAATCTACGCCGAAAGCTGGAAGGTGGAGGAATACTTCCACCCTCCCAGAGTCAGCGAAGGTTTTCCAGGCGGAGGTTCTCGCGATACTGAAAGCTGCGGAACTTTCGCTAGACCGAGGCCTTCGGAATACCAAGGTGAGGATATACTCAGATAGCCAGGCGGCGATCAAATCCCTCGCACAAGCACGGACGACTTCAAACTAGTGGCCAAATGTAAAAGGGCACAAAACAGACTCGCAGAGGACTACAGGGTACAAATAGCCTGGGTACGCGGACCACAATGACATAGACGGAAACGAGAAAGCAGACGAGCTGGCCAAAAAGGGTCAGAAGAACACTCAGCAACAACAGACATCCAGATCTCCCTGAACTCAGTCCAGACGGCAATTCAGGACCATTTCAAACAACTAGCCAGAAAGGAATGGTCGACGAAGGCAGAGCACAGAAGATCGAAACTATGCTGGCCAGGAATTCAATAGGAAGCGAACCGCAGAACTGATCTCCAAGAGCAAAAAGGACATCAGGGGGTAGCGACACCCATCACCGGCCACTGGCCAATAGGCACGCAAGTCTGTAAGATGGGTCTGCCCTACAACCCACAATACAGAAGCTGCAAGGAACCAAGCGAGCAGGAGACACCAGAGCATCTGCTGTGCCACCTCCCGGCACTCAACAATCAATGAGCCCGACACTTTGGAGCACACCAACTCGAGTCACTAGGGGGAAGTTGGAAGGCAGCCAGTAGCGGCCATCCTAGCTTACCTGAATGACACGGGCTGGTACTAAATAGGGCGCAGACAACAGCAAATCGAGGGTGTGGATCAAAACGGAGCTCAGCTCTAATTGGAGGCGGCCAGGGCTGCCCTCACCACTTATACCTACCTACCTACCTACCATCCCGCGTGGCGGGTGGAAAATTGTATTGCCTATTTCTCTTTGTATTATGCTTCGCCGCTGCCGTCTGCCGCAGAATTGGCGCGACCTGTTTGCATTGTGCCACATATTCTCCCTATATATATATATTTTTTCTGACCTAAAAAAAATATCGGCGCCATGTAAGAAAGCGTCTGGGCGGCCGGGATAAACCTCAGCGGCCCAGAGTCCCCTCACAAAATTTATAATTTGTGAGACACCCAGAACGGAGAAGCGCCGATAATTTTCTGGCCAGCTAGCGAGGAAAAATGGGGAAGAAAATATTTGCACGTGATTATTTGGCCAGGGAAACTGGGCGACCCGGAATAATCCAGAGGTCAAGCCCGCGTCCGCGCCCGGAATTACCCAGCGGCGGGACGAGTGGCCCGGAATAATCCAGCGGCCACGCCCACGCCTAGGGTTGGAATGATCCAGCAGGGGGCGCCTTCGGGGCAGGACCAAGGCTCGGAGGAGTCCAGCAGCCAAGGCCTGTGTCCACGCTCGGAAGAATCCAGCAGCGGGACCACTGGCTCGGAGAAAATCCAGCAAAAGTCCGGCTTTTTGCCCGCACCCGGAATTACTCCGGTGCTACGGGGAAAGCAGGAGGGAATTGGTCACTGCCGGGGAGGGGCGCCGGCCCGCGATCGAAGACAGGGAAAACGCGCAATTTGATTTAGGCACATGTTTTCTAATTGGTACTTTTATTCGGGAAAATAACTTCTGGCGGCGGGTGTGGGATAAGTCCCCAATATACTTAATGGCCGGCGGCCATGCTCACCCTGGCTGGATATCCTTGGAGGTCCTGCAGTATAATTTGGTCCCGACGCGGACACGCGGTTTTGGCACTTAGACTTTTTCACTTGCGGAGCGGCACGACTTGCGCGATGGAGAATTTTTGCGAGAATTAATTGACCTCATTTCCGCAGTGTGGTCGTGACCTAATATCTGCCGACAGCGCTGCCGCGATCGATCTTGGCTTGCCAGATGCTGATACTATCGCTGACAGCGTTGCCACTTGTGCGCGTAACTTCAAAAGCTTTGTGCTCGTTTTTGAACTTCCCTTCGCGGGGTTTATTTGGTTTCATGCCGTTGGCTTCATGCCGGGTGATGTGTGCGTTTTTTTTTTTTTTTTTATTATTTAAAGATGAAAAGGAAGTAATTTTACAAAAAATTAGGATAGTGGAAGTTTTTGAGAAGGAGTCCACTCCCTGGGACTGCCGCGAAGCTATACTTCGCGGGGTGGCTGGCGGTCAGGTTGCCGCTCATCTAAGGCCCTCAGTGCGTCGGGTCTGCTCCCGGCGCCTTAGCTCCCTCATGACGGTTGCTGCCATGTCCGTAACCGCATCCCAGTTGGATGGGGTCTCCAGCATACACCCAATTATGGTCTCGGGTGTAAGGCGACGGTTGGTTGTTGCCTCTGCTGCCTCTCTTTCCGCGCGGAAAAGCGGACACTCCGAAGAAGGCGTGTTCTGCATCCTCAACGGATGCATCGCCGCAATAGTCGCAGGATGGGTCGGCCTCGTGCTTGAATCTGTGAAGATAGGCTTTGAAACATCCGTGGCCCGTGATCAGCTGCGTTGTGTAGAAGTCTACTTGCCCGTGACGTCTGTGTATCCACTGATCCAGATCGGGGATAAGCCGATGTGTCCAGCGTCCAGTGCTCGCGTTATCCCACCTCGCCTGCCACCTTGCGACAGTGATGCTCCTCTGGGTTCTGCTGCCCGAGTTACCGGTCCTGCGTTCCGCTGCCAGCAGGTCCATAGGGATCGACCCACCAGCGCAGCTTCTTCAGAGACCGTGCAGAAGCAGCTGGAAATGAGCAGCGCGCAGCGTCGATACACCGTCCTGCATTGGCGGCTGTAGCTCGCAACCAGCATGGCCTCCGCCCATATCGGTGCGGCGTAGAGTAGGGTTGACGTCACGACTGTTGATATCAGCCGTCTACTGTGCTGCCTAGGACCGCGCATGTTGGCCATCATCCTCGAGATTGCGGCAGTGGCCTTGGACGCCTTGGCCGCTGCGTACTCCAAGTGACACTTGTAGTTGAGCCTGTGGTCGATCAGGACCCCAAGGTATTTAACCGTCGGGCTGGACTCGATGGTGGTCGAGCCGACCCGGAAGTTGACCTTCTCGACAACCTTTTCGGCTACTGATAAGTACTGCCTCCGTTTTCTGCTCGGCAAGGGAGAGACCGTTGTCTGCTAGCCACGACATCGAGAATGTCTATCGCGTGGCTACATTTAGTAGAGACGTCTGATAGGTGTTTCTCCACCGTGACAAGTGCGATATCGTCTGCAAAGCCAATTACAGAGCAACCTTGGGGTAGTGGCAGCCTCAGTATGTCGTCATACATGACGTTCCACAGAAGTGGCCCGAGGACTGAGCCTTGGGGTACGCCTCCTGTCACGTGATGTCTCTGGTTTCCGGCGTCGGAGCTGTATAGCAGGACGCGGTCCTTGAAGTAATCGGCAATCAGCTGGATAATATAGCCAGATATGCCGCCACGCTGGAGTGCTTGGAGGATTAGACTCCAGTTTGCAGAGTTGAACGCGTTTTTGACGTCCAGGGTGCATACGAGGCAGTACTTCTTGGAGCCTCCTTGCCATCTTTCGCCTTTAATGGCATTTTCCGCAAGCTGTGTTACCTCGCGGATCGCATCAATAGTGCTTCGCTTCTTGCGGAAACCGTGCTGATGGGTTGATAGGGCACCGCGCTCCTCGATTTCCCTCTCTAGTTTATTGCCTATAATGCGCTCGAATATTTTGCCAATCGTATTCAGCATGCATAGGGGCCGAAATGAGGACGGGTCGTCGTTCAGCTTGACAGGCTTCGTAATGAGCACGAGTCTCTGTTTCTTCCAAACTCTTGGAAAGGTTTTCTCAGCAATGCATATGTTATACAGCTGCACAAATAGCTTCGGGTAAGCCTTCACTATGGCATGCAGAGCTGCATTGGGAATGCCATCTGGTCCGGGGGGCCTTAGATGCTTGGCAGCTTGTCAGCGCGCTAAGGACTTCCTCTTCGCAGGTGGGGATCGGTTCGCCCGCAGCCACGCTGGGTAGTCTTAGTGGCGGCTGTGGCGGGAACAGCGTGTCAACTATTGTTCCCAGATGTTGCTGGGAGGTTGGGGTCGGCTGCCTGGTTAGCTTACCCGTAACCATTTTGTAGGCTGAGCCAAACGGTTCTTGGTCAGCCGCATCGCACAGCTCCTGGAAACACCTGTGCTTGCAATTCCTGATCGCCACCTTGAGGGCCTTTTTCATTTCCCTGTACCATGACTCGTACAGCTCCTGCGTGGTGCGTCCTCGGCTTCTTTGGCATCTCCGCCTTGCAGCGAGACACTTGCTTCTGGCTGAGGCTATTTCCTGGTTCCAATAGGGGACTGGTCGCCTTCCGCCTCCCTTAGTGGATTTTTCCATTGCCGCGTCGCAGGCTGCCTTGATCCTGGCGGATATGGCATCCGCGCAGGTGTTTGCCTCGCCTGTAATGGTGTTGGCATCCATGCAGTTTAGGAGCACCTCGTAGTTTAGGGTGTGTACCCTGTAGGCAGTTTCCCGGCTGGTTTGGTGAAGCTGATTTTGCCTCGTCTGGAAGACGATTGCCGCGTGATCGCTATAGGTGAGCAGGTGGGTGACTTCCCAGTAGCTGTTCCTGGTGAGCTCCGGACTAGCGAAGGTCAGGTCAATGTATGACTCACGGCCTGACTTGCTAAATGTGCATCTTCTTCCATCATTTAGTAGGCAGACATCCAGGGTGGAAAAGGCGTCAAGGATGATAGTTCCCCGCTGGGTCGTTCTCGTACTCCACCAGGCTGTGGACCATGCATTAAAGCATCTTGAGCGATCTCCTGCACTATCTCCCTGAACTCGTCTGTGTGCAAGCTCGGGGCTAGGTAGCAACTGTATATGGTTGTCCCTTGAAACTTAGCCCTGGCATAGCCAGGCCTCGTCGCCCTCTGCGCTAGGTGGCCCGGGGGCTGCCCGCAGCTCCAAATGGCTGCGCCGCCATTGGTGCTTTGCTGCCAGACTCCTTCTGGTTTTGACCGGTAGGGCTCGCTTATTGGCCAGGAAACTGGGCGACCCGGAATAATCCAGAGGTCAAGCCCGCGTCCGCGCCCGGAATTACCCAGCGGCGGGACGAGTGGCCCGGAATAATCCAGCGGCCACGCCCACGCCTAGGGTTGGAATGATCCAGCAGGGGGCGCCTTCGGGGCAGGACAAAGGCTCGGAGGAGTCCAGCAGCCAAGGCCTGTGTCCACGCTCGGAAGAATCCAGCAGCGGGACCACTGGCTCGGAGAAAATCCAGCAAAAATCCGGCTTTTGCCCGCACCCGGAATTACTCCGGTGCTACGGGGAAAGCAGGAGGGGAATTGGTCACTGCCGGGGAGGGGCGCCGGCCCGCGATCGAAGACAGGGAAAACGCGCAATTTGATTTAGGCACATGTTTTCTAATTGGTACTTTTATTCGGGAAAATAACTTCTGGCGGCGGGTGTGGGATAAATCCCCAATATACTTAATGGCCGGCGGCCATGCTCACCCTGGCTGGATATCCTTGGAGGTCCTGCAGTATAATTTGGTCCCGACGCGGACACGCGGTTTTGGCACTTAGACTTTTTCACTTGCGGAGCGGCACGACTTGCGCGATGGAGAATTTTTGCGAGAATTAATTGACCTAATTTCCGCAGTGTGGTCGTGACCTAATATCTGCCGACAGCGCTGCCGCGATCGATCTTGGCTTGCCAGATGCTGATACTATCGCTGACAGCGTTGCCACTTGTGCGCGTAACTTCAAAAGCTTTGTGCTCGTTTTGAACTTCCCTTCGCGGGGTTTATTTGGTTTCATGCCGTTGGCTTCATGCCGGGTGATGTGTGCGTGCTTTTTTTTTTTTTTTTTTTTTTATTATTTAAAGATGAAAAGGAAGTAATTTTACAAAAAATTAGGATAGTGGAAGTTTTTGAGAAGGAGTCCACTCCCGCGGGACTGCCGCGAAGCTATACTTCGCGGGGTGGCTGGCGGTCAGGTTGCCGCTCATCTAAGGCCCTCAGTGCGTCGGGTCTGCTCCCGGCGCCTTAGCTCCCTCATGACGGTTGCTGCCATGTCCGTAACCGCATCCCAGTTGGATGGGGTCTCCAGCATACACCCAATTATGGTCTCGGGTGTAAGGCGACGGTTGGTTGTTGCCTCTGCTGCCTCTCTTTCCGCGCGGAAAAGCGGACACTCGAAGAAGGCGTGTTCTGCATCCTCAACGGATGCATCGCCGCAATAGTCGCAGGATGGGTCGGCCTCGTGCTTGAATCTGTGAAGATAGGCTTTGAAACATCCGTGGCCCGTGATCAGCTGCGTTGTGTAGAAGTCTACTTGCCCGTGACGTCTGTGTATCCACTGATCCAGATCGGGGATAAGCCGATGTGTCCAGCGTCCAGTGCTCGCGTTATCCCACCTCGCCTGCCACCTTGCGACAGTGATGCTCCTCTGGGTTCTGCTGCCCGAGTTACCGGTCCTGCGTTCCGCTGCCAGCAGGTCCATAGGGATCGACCCACCAGCGCAGCTTCTTCAGAGACCGTGCAGAAGCAGCTGGAAATGCGCAGCGCGCAGCGTCGATACACCGTCCTGCATTGGCGGCTGTAGCTCGCAACCAGCATGGCCTCCGCCCATATCGGTGCGGCGTAGAGTAGGGTTGACGTCACGACTGTTGATATCAGCCGTCTACTGTGCTGCCTAGGACCGCGCATGTTGGCCATCATCCTCGAGATGGCGGCAGTGGCCTTGGACGCCTTGGCCGCTGCGTACTCCAAGTGACACTTGTAGTTGAGCCTGTGGTCGATCAGGACCCCAAGGTATTTAACCGTCGGGCTGGACTCGATGGTGGTCGAGCCGACCCGGAAGTTGACCTTCTCGACAACCTTTCGGCTACTGATAAGTACGGCCTCCGTTTTCTGCTCGGCAAGGGAGAGACCGTTGTCTGCTAGCCACGACATCAGAATGTCTATCGCGTGGCTACATTTAGTAGAGACGTCTGATAGGTGTTTCTCCACCGTGACAAGTGCGATATCGTCTGCAAAGCCAATTACAGAGCAACCTTGGGGTAGTGGCAGCCTCAGTATGTCGTCATACATGACGTTCCACAGAAGTGGCCCGAGGACTGAGCCTTGGGGTACGCCTCCTGTCACGTGATGTCTCTGGTTTCCGGCGTCGGAGCTGTATAGCAGGACGCGGTCCTTGAAGTAATCGGCAATCAGCTGGATAATATAGCCAGATATGCCGCCACGCTGGAGTGCTTGGAGGATTAGACTCCAGTTTGCAGAGTTGAACGCGTTTTTGACGTCCAGGGTGCATACGAGGCAGTACTTCTTGGAGCCTCCTTGCCATCTTTCGCCTTTAATGGCATTTTCCGCAAGCTGTGTTACCTCGCGGATCGCATCAATAGTGCTTCGCTTCTTGCGGAAACCGTGCTGATGGGTTGATAGGGCACCGCGCTCCTCGATTTCCCTCTCTAGTTTATTGCCTATAATGCGCTCGAATATTTTGCCAATCGTATTCAGCATGCATAGGGGCCGAAATGAGGACGGGTCGTCGTTCAGCTTGACAGGCTTCGTAATGAGCACGAGTCTCTGTTTCTTCCAAACTCTTGGAAAGGTTTTCTCAGCAATGCATATGTTATACAGCTGCACAAATAGCTTCGGGTAAGCCTTCACTATGGCATGCAGAGCTGCATTGGGAATGCCATCTGGTCCGGGGGCCTTAGATGCTTGGCAGCTTGTCAGCGCGCTAAGGACTTCCTCTTCGCAGGTGGGGATCGGTTCGCCCGCAGCCACGCTGGGTAGTCTTAGTGGCGGCTGTGGCGGGAACAGCGTGTCAACTATTGTTCCCAGATGTTGCTGGGAGGTTGGGGTCGGCTGCCTGGTTAGCTTACCCGTAACCATTTTGTAGGCTGAGCCAAACGGTTCTTGGTCAGCCGCATCGCACAGCTCCTGGAAACACCTGTGCTTGCAATTCCTGATCGCCACCTTGAGGGCCTTTTTCATTTCCCTGTACCATGACTCGTACAGCTCCTGCGTGGTGCGTCCTCGGCTTCTTTGGCATCTCCGCCTTGCAGCGAGACACTTGCTTCTGGCTGAGGCTATTTCCCTGGTTCCACTAGGGGACTGGTCGCCTTCCGCCTCCCTTAGTGGATTTTTCCATTGCCGCGTCGCAGGCTGCCTTGATCCTGGCGGATATGGCATCCGCGCAGGTGTTTGCCTCGCCTGTAATGGTGTTGGCATCCATGCAGTTTAGGAGCACCTCGTAGTTTAGGGTGTGTACCCTGTAGGCAGTTTCCCGGCTGGTTTGGTGAAGCTGATTTTGCCTCGTCTGGAAGACGATTGCCGCGTGATCGCTATAGGTGAGCAGGTGGGTGACTTCCCAGTAGCTGTTCCTGGTGAGCTCCGGACTAGCGAAGGTCAGGTCAATGTATGACTCACGGCCTGACTTGCTAAATGTGCATCTTCTTCCATCATTTAGTAGGCAGACATCCAGGGTGGAAAAGGCGTCAAGGATGATAGTTCCCCGCTGGGTCGTTCTCGTACTCCCCCAGGCTGTGGACCATGCATTAAAGTCTCCAGCGATTATCACCGGTGATCTTCCGCGAGCATCTTGATCGATCTCCTGCACTATCTCCCTGAACTCGTCTGTGTGCAAGCTCGGGGCTAGGTAGCAACTGTATATGGTTGTCCCTTGAAACTTAGCCCTGGCATAGCCAGGCCTCGTCGCCCTCTGCGCTATGTGGCCCGGGGGCTGCCCGCAGCTCCAAATGGCTGCGCCGCCATTGGTGCTTTGCTGCCAGACTCCTTCTGGTTTTGGCCGGTAGGGCTCGCTCAGTATAGCGACGTCAATGTTCTGCTCGCTGACCGTCTGGGACAGTAGATCTTGGGTTGATCTACAGTGGTTAAGGTTGAGTTGAAGAACCTTAACCATTGATATTGTTTTTGGCCGCCTTCACGTACTCAGGGCAGATCCTGCTCAGGGTCGCGTGCTCTGAATGCATCTGGGCTTGCCCTGGCAAGTATAGTGCTTGTGGCTGGTGCCTCCACATTTGAAACATGCTTCCTGTGTGGCTTTGGCCGTAGCTTCAGAAGCGCGGCATCTTGCCGAGGTGTGACCGAAGCCCATGCATTTATAGCAGCGCCTCGGCTCCAATTTCTCCCGGATGCGGCATACTACCCATCCAATTCGGATCTTGCCCTTCTCGAGCAGTCTCCGCGCGTGCTCGGGTTTCAGGCTTACCGTCGCAATTTGCGTTCCTCCAAACGCTTTCCGCATTCTGGACGCAGCGTCGCTTGGAATGTCGCAGTCCTCTCCGGCAAATAGTGCCATTGTGACTTCCTTTCCGCTGGTCAAGTCATCAAGATCACGGATCTCCACCTGGACCGTCTCCTGCATGACGGTCACCTCCGCCTTGCCGGAGATGGCCGTTTTGAGGGCCGCTTGCAGTTGCCGTGTGAATGGGTCGAGGGACTTCTGCATCCGTACAAGGAGTCCGCCATTGGCAGTCCTTCGCAGGCCTTGCACGCCTTCCTTGAGTCCTTGGAGTGAGGGCTCCGTCTTAACAATCCTCAGCATGTCTGCATAGGATCCTTCACTACACTTAATCAGGATAGCATCGGAGCGCTGCTTCCTGGGCTTCATGGTGCGAGGGGCCTGCTCCCCTTTTTGGGCTCTGCTCTCCGCCATTGCGTGGGGGGCTTTGGGCTTTGGTTTGCGCTTGACACACAGTTACACGGCTGCTCGCGGGTGTAGCACTAGGGGCCGTGCCAGACAGCGTGGGGGTGGTCTGCTGGCTTGC